TGTGATGGTGGTGATGGTGGTGATGATAGTGATGGTGGTGATGATAGTGATGGTGGTGATGGTGGTGATGATAGTGATGGTGGTGATGATGGTGATGGTGGTGACGATGATGATGATGAGGAGGAGGAGTAGGAGGATGATGCTGATGCTGCTGATGATGACATGTTAGGCATGATGGTAATTGGCATCAGCGGTCCGGTGGCCTCAAATAAAATCGCCATCCCCAATGAAAAAAATCGACGAACGTTCAATCCATCCAATGAACGACAGAAAAATGTCGGTAATAAAATGAACGTAACGGCAATAAATCGAATAAATCGGTATTCTCTGAAACCGTTAATATTCGACAATGTTCGGTTTTTTTTGTTATTCCTCTTCTGTAAGATTTCTTTCTTATTGTTTCTTTCTTAAATCATATGATTTTTGCGTGTGTCTTGTGTCTCTCTCTGTGTGTATGAGTTTGTGCGTGTATATATCTATATGTGTGTGTGTGTTTGTGTGTTTTGTGTGTGTGTGTGTGGTTGTTATAGTCATGCATTATAATTTATCGTAAATTAATCGTGCTAGGCGAATGATGAGATGATGATGCGTGTTGAAAGACTGGAAGATACTGATGGAAAGATGGGTGGAAAGAAGGAGGAGTGTTAAATTGAATGAAGGATCAAACGAACAAATGAATGAACAGATAAATTTTCATTTTCATTCATTTTTTGGTGACTCCATATTTGATTGAGTGGCGTTTGAATTCATAATTGTTCCTCTTACACTATATACATTCAATAGTTATCATCTTTTACACTTTAATTATGTGTGTTTTATTTTGTTGTGTTGACTTGTGTATTATTATTTATATATATAAGATAAGTTTATTATGTTTTATTTATGTATGGTTATATTTCCGAATTTCTATATTTTTGTTTGGCAAGGGGTTCTGCCCGTGCTGTTTTGAAAAATAATAATAATAATAATAAACAAATTAGTTTATAACATACGAACGAATGAACAAAAGAATAAGGAATGACGTGAACATTGAGATGAAAAAATTCACTACCGGCTTGATGATGCATGGCAGTAAAACGTGGTTGGCCAGACGTTTCAAATGGACCTCGTACATTTTCTAAGCATCTTAGTACAGCAGCAAAATGCTTAACACAATTCTTACGCATTTTGATGAAAAACAGAAACTTGAAACATTCATTAGAATGAATGAATTCAATTAATTGACTTTCATCACTAATTGAATACATTCACAGTGTTGTCATCAGCTCGACATGACGGCTGCAATGTGAAGATTGACGACAAAAACCCGCAGGTTTATCTTTTGCACGCCGATAAACAACAAAAACAACAAAAACCACCACAACAACAGCAGCAGCAGCAACAACAAAAACAACAACAGCAGCAGCAGCAACAACAAAAACAACAACAGCAGCCGTGTGTCACGTGGCAGGTTTCCGCAAATCCAGGTCAACGAATCAGCGTGGAGTTGTTCGACTTTTCTTTGATCAGCGCCCTACTTCCTTCCAACCAATCAAAATCGGCCCTCAGTTCTATTGCCCGCCAGAACGCAATCCGTCACTTTGCTGCCAAGCAACAACAACAACAACAGTTAAGCAAAGACAATAATGGAATTGTTCAACAACAACAGCCCCAGCAGCAACCGCAAAAACAAACGCTACATAACCAAATTTCGCAAAGTAATTCTCTCCAACTACAGCCACCTACTTTCTACCCAACCTCACCACCACCCCCACTATCTTCACTCCATTCCTCACTTCCGCCATCTTTCGACAAATTAATATCACACTGTCAAGTGAACGTCGTGAACATATATGAGGATGACGTCATCACATCGTCATCCGCAACGGACAACAACTCATCATCATCATCTTCTTCTTCTCTCTCATCATCACAATCGTCACCACAATCATCATCACTACCGCAAGAACCCACCCACACATTGTGTGGCGCTCAACTGAACGAACTGAACCTTGAGATGTCTTCACTGTTGAAGAACAAATCGTCAAACATTCGATTGCTGAACACTTACGTGCAAGCATATGAAACGAGAAGCAACCGCATGAAGCTGCAGCTGCTCGATCGCATGTGGCCGGAAGCTGTCTACGTCATCAAGCTAGCTGGTGATGATGATGATGATGGTGTGGGGATGATTATGATTATAATGATTATGCCGACGACTATTTTAATTGTAAACACGTTGTTGTTGAAGATGATGACGGTTTCAGCCATGGTGGCTTTCATGACGATAATAATAATGACGATGATGAAGACAATGATGATGACGTCACTGATAGTATTAGTAATTTTAGTACGAACAAAAATTTTCTGTTTTTCCCCGAAACTGACGATGATTAAAGATGATTATGTACATTGATATGCTCCTTGCTACATTTCATCCTCTATTACCTTCACCTTACAATTAAAAAAGAAGCTGAAATTTCGGTACTATTATCGTCGTCATCATCATTGTTATCATCACCACCACCTTCGTCATCATCATCATCATCACCACCATCATCATCATCATCACGACTACCTCACCCACTAGCCACCGGCTGTCCGTACATAAGAGAGGGCACGTATGATGACGTCAGGGTGATCCATAATGACGTCACGCTGCTGAAGATCGATTGCCTGAAGAGCGGGAGAACGCTGACGATGATATGCGATGGGGTCAGCTGGAATGGAACGTTCGAAGATTGCGATAATGGTGGTATCATTAACTAATGTTTCTTTACTACTGTTACTAATATACAATATCTACACACACACAAACATACGCACACAGACACACTTACAAATATAAACGAACATATATACATACGTGCATGCAAATAAGCAAACAAACAAACATACATGCATACAAGTATACATGCATAAATACAAATACAAGCAAAAAACAAACAAACAAGCAAAACAAACACACAAATACAAACAGACATACAAACAAACAAATTAGACAAACTAACTAACTAACTAAACAAACAAACTAGACAAACTAGACAAAAAAAAACAAAACTAAACAAACAAATACAAACAAAACATAGGCAAAACATTACCAAACAAACAAATACGACCCCACAGTTGACTTAGCTGAGAGTACGCTGAAAAATTCAAGCAGTGATTTCCCCATAGGTTGGTTTCAGATTCAAATTTTTTTATTTATTCGACATTTTATAGTTCTCTTGTTATCTCTGTTCATACCTTGCTCATTACGTCGTCGTCGTCATCACTATCTTCTTCATGGATATCAGTATAACCATTATCAGCATCGCCATTACGTCATAAATGTATGAAAAAATTTACGCAAAAATAGAATCTTCATTTGATCACACATCGTCATCATTAGATATATCCGTCATCTTTTCATCACACCATCATCATCATCATCGTCCAATTTGTTTCATCATCATTTCCAGTTTAATTTAAATCCACTTTTCATTCCTCACCGTCTCTCTTTTCCCTTTCTAATCACCATTTTCCAAGCTTAAGATGCATTTATAACCAAAGGACCAGCATAAAATATGCACCTACCTAGCCTACCAACCAACTTATCTCACCTCTCTAAAATTGGCCAATCATAAAACGAGAAATTGGGTCAAACGGATGATAAATAATATTCAGGTCGGGGATGTAACGATTTAAAAGTTAGTCGAGATTCGATAGCGAATATAATTCGTTCGGATTCGGTAAGCTTAAATGTTGAAAACAGAATGATTAAATCTTATGCGTTATCATTATGAGGTCACCATCAATATCGGCGTGATGAAATTTATCGTCCGTACATACTTTCATTATCCTTGGTGCTTGTGACGTCATTAATATTGTTCGTCGTCGTCATCATCATCATAGTATCATCGTCATGATGAATTTTATTTCAAAAATACTCAACATTATTGAGGTTTTCGCCAACATAAACATCATCACCGTCGACCTCATCCTCATTATAATAATTCTTGTCATCATCATCAACGTCATCATCAACGTCATCATCATCAACGTCATCATCATCAGGATCGGCCACAATCTTTGGCCTGATATTAATATGGTGCGTGGCCCTGTCGATATTGTTCCTCGGTCTTTATCACATGAAGAGGTGAGAGATTTGGTCTCTGTGCTTGTGTCTATGTCTGTCTGTCTGTCTGTCTGTCTTTGTGTGTGCGTGTGTGTCTGTTTGTGTGCGTGTGTGTGTGTGTCTGTTTGTCTGTGCATGTGTGTCTGTGTGCATGTGTCCGTTTGTCTGTGCGTGTGTGTCTGTTTGTTTGTGAAGGATCTTTTATGGAACTGCTCATCATTTATCACTAGTGTCACTGTCATCATTATTTTGTCTATGTTTTTTCGTTGTTGTCAACATCGCCATTTATTTTCCTCAACCAATCAGGAAACGCCAAAGAAAGGACAGCGGAAATATGGGCATAGACATGAAAGATTTGAAGCCACTGAACACGCAGGAGGCCATGTATGACGTCACCAACCAGGACATCTACGCCAGGAACCAGGCCTTCGATAACATCTCAACAAACAAGCAGCAACAGCAAAATGGCGCAATGAAGAGCCCGGCACTGATTGGACAGAACGACACGGCTACCAACAAGATATACCGCCCACAAAACGGCAACACCATCAGCAGCAGCAGCAGCAACCACACCACTGCCAACAACAGCGATTGCAGTAGATTTTTCTCTCCCCAAAAGACACTCCTCCCCATCGCGACGCCAGTCCCGCACCCGAACAGTCGCACGCTGCCGGCCAACTTGCAATCGGCCGTCGCTATTTTATTGCCGAACAAAAAAACTGGATCTATCCTGGCGGGAAAAACCCGCCCAGCTGCTGCGATGGAATTTTGCACGCGTGTCTGGCAGTCGCCGGAAGTTAAAAGAAGACCGGATGTGTTTGGAATTGGTTTGCCGGAAGTACAGGCGCCAGTAATGACTTTCCATCCGTCATTTACCGGTAAGAACGGTGGCGATAATAGGATGCTCATACGTCAAAAGTATCAACAACAGCAACAACACTCGCTGTATAAAAATGATGGCAAGGTTGAGCACAACGACCCTGAGTTTCAACATTTAAAGATGTTGGCGCCCTGCAACAGCAACAGCTTGCAACGTCAGCAGCAGCTAAACTCAGCGTCAGTAGCCTACAACTACAACAACGACAACTACGAGATACCACACTCACCTCAGATGTATCAGCAGCGTCCTCACCAACATCAGCACCATCAATTCACGTTCTCCTCAACAGCCTCCAACCAGCAACGACAGCAGCAGTACCCACCGGCGCATCAACCACAAATGCTCGGTTTGAGAGCCGTCTGGATCAACAACATCACCAACAACAACGTCAGCATTTGTGACAACAACGCCGACAACACCAACAACACTAACACCAACCGCAACGACATCAATAATTGTTATCAGAACTCAATGTTGCATCAGATGTACTCCATCCCAGACAAATGCAAGCGACAACAACAACAGCCGCAGCAAACAACCACAACAGCTGTTATGCTCTGCTCAAACTCGGACAACGACAACAACGTCATCATGCTAAGCAGCAGTTTCACAAACCCGAACGGCGGCAACACCAACAACAACATCATCTTCAACAACAACTCAAATACCAACAATATCATCTTCAACGCAGGCATCAACAGCAGTGCCGGAAACAACAACAACAACAACATCATCTTCAACAACACTACACACGATTACGCGAACAGTGACCCATCCGATGGTTACATAACGCAAAATCAGGTACCTCAGTTTGGGGACTACATAGGGCCGTCCGAGGTGCCAGACCCTTCAGCCCCCCTCCTTGCGCTTGCTTTTAGAAACGCCACCTATAATACATGGAATAATGATAGTAATGCCAACCGGGTGATAGATCGTTCAAGTGGTGATGACCCTTGTGATGTTGTTGATGGTGTCTGTGATGGTGGTGGTGGTGATGGTGGAGAATGTGATGGTGATGTTGGCGGTGGTGGTGGTAGTGGTGGCGTAAAAGACGGCGCTGGGAGTTACGATGCTCCTGAGGAGCATTAGTTATGGATGGGTAGTAGATGAAGATGGTCATAACGATTGTAGTGATGATATTCTGTGCCAGCGGATCGTAATGATGATGGCAAAAATGATGACGACGATGATGATGACGATGATGATGGCGAAGATGATGATGACGATGATGATGGCGAAGATGATGACGTCACTGGTTTTTCTCCTTAGTCGCGGTGATATATCTGATTTTTGTTTATTATAAAATGAAAATTTTTGCGTTACGATGATTATGGGTATGTCAGTTTTTATGTTGTTGATAATGATGATGATGTTGTTGTTGATGGTGAGAATGATGTTGTTGTTGTTGTTGATAATGATGATGTTGTTGGTGGTGATGATGATGTTGTGGTTGTTGATAACAGTGATGATGTTGTTTTTGTTGTCGATGATGATGATGATTTTTATAACATTATCACTCAAGGCACGTTTCGATTCAATTCACAATCCCCAACTAAGTATAAATTGCCATTCTTTTTTAACGCTTTTTCATTCTTTCAATCTTTTTCACTCTCACTTTTTCACTCCGCTTGCACTCTCACTATCATCCCTATCCTACCTCTTCTTCGATCTCTCATTCCTCCACTTACATTTCTTTCTGTCTTTTTTCCCGTTCTTTCCGTCCTTCACTCTCACATTTTCATCTTCATCTTACTTTTTTTCATTTTTCTCCTTCTTCGGCAGGCTTTTTTTAATTTTTTTTTGGTTTATTATTTCTTTTTTTTTATTTTGCAAAACTTCATCAAAATGTAACTTCCACAACGATTGCATTGATTGCAAATGAAGATTGACGTCACCATCAACAACAACAACAACGGAAACGACATCTGCAGAAAAAAAAACAACAAAAAACATTTTTTCGTCTTGATGATGATGAGGATGATAATGGTGGTGAGGTTGTTTTTAGTACCACACCGCCATCGTCGTCGTCAGCGTAATGACGTCATGAAATCTCATCGTTGTTTCAGCAAAACTCATGACGGAATAATTTACACAAATCATAGATAGCTCCAGCAGCAACTGCAGCAACAACACCAGCCACAACAACAACAGCAACAGCAAAGACAAAATGACAAAAACAAAACAAAAACAAAATTGTTAGTGACAGAATAGCAAAAAAACCAACACAAACACAACACAAACACATCAAAATAAACAACATTAAACACCACCAAACAAACAACAACAACAAACAAACAAACAACGACAAAACAACATACAACACCATCCAGCAAACAAACAACATTGTAGAACGACAACAAAGTGGAGAAAATCTGGGATGAGAGAAATATTTATGACAGGAGATGCTACGAATATAGAGCAAACATCACTGGCTAACCGAAGAACATTTGTTTGTTTGGCCTGCTTAATCACACAGACAAACACACATGCACTCCTATACACACACATATGTGTGTGTGTGTGTTTATGTGTATTATAATTTGTGGTTTTATCGCTTATACAATAATCTCTTTATTTAATCAAGAAAAAATAAGCTATGCTTTATATTTGAGTATTCCTTATATATGTATGCATGTATATGTGTGTGTATATATATGTGTGTGTATGTGTGTGTATATACGTGTGTGTGTGTGTGTGTGCGCGCGCGCAAGTAACAATAGTTTAATTGTATAAAAAAAATTAAAAAGTAATGTGTTGTTCTTATGTGTTGTTAGAATCTAGAAATACACACACTATCTAATAATACGTTACATACAAACGCTATGCATCTAAATGTTTTTGGTGGTATTTTAACATAAGTCTGTATTAAATATGTATATATAAATAATTTATGTATTATATATAATACATAAATAACATACAATACCAGCATACAATACAACTGCAAACCTGGATTTTTTAATTTTGTTGATCCGTTTAAATTCTCTATAGTTTTCTATTACGATTTTTGTGGTATGTACGTTGGTGATAACACATCTATATTGATGTAATTTTTATATTTTGTATATGTGTTTGTGCGTGCGTGCATGTGTGTGCGTACATGTGTGTGTCTGTGTGTGTGTTTGTGTGTGTGTGTCTGTCTGTGTGTGTGGCGCGCGCGTTTACCTACACATGTGTAAAATATTAACTTATATAAATTAAATACAAATAAGGTAAAAACTTGTCTATTTAAATATTGTATTAAAAACTAATAACATATGTAGATCGCACATCGCTATTTTTACAATCTGTACTATACTAACACTATGTTACTGATACGGTATTTTTCATAATTTAGATTGTAATTGATTTTATTTTAACCACAATATGAGGAGCGAGGTTTCGGGATGCTTGAAGCTGCCGCAGTATCTGCAGCAGCCTCTACAGCAGCAGCAGTTTGAATGCCACGCAATGCTCCACCTAACTTTAGTCATAATTCGAAACATTTTTTCATACCTTTTTGAGTTATAAAAGCAGCAGTTGCTAGTTCTCGTTTCGTTAGTTCTGCGTTACTTGTTTCCTGCCTTCCGTTTATCGCCTATTTAATTATAATTAATTATAATTAAATTATATTCATAGTTAAATTAATTTATTGTGAATAATTATTTAGATTTATCATTAATTATTTCTGTAATTTATTTTGGTTGGTCATAGGCTGTTAGAGAATATTTTGTTTATAGTATGTGCTTATATGTGTGTTATTGGAAAAAACATCATTTTTATCTATCTATCATTCATTCATTCTTTTTTTTTGTTCATTCATTCAACCATTCATTCATTCATACATTCATTTATTCAGTCATTCATCTATAAAACTCTTAATTAATTAATTCATTCTTTCGTTCATGCATTCATTCATTCGTTCATTCCTTCGTTAATTTGATTCTTCCTTCAATCCATCATCATCAATTTTCTGATCCTTGTCATTTCACTATGACTAACGTTGTACAATTTGATGGAAAATTATAATAGAAATTAGTTTTAGTTCTATTTGTACAAACTTATAAAGGTTGTTACATTTTTATTATGGCGAAAATATGTGTGTTCGTGCATGTGTATGTGTGTGTGTGTGTACGTGTGTGTGCGTGTATGTGTGTGGTGTGTACGTGCGTGCGTGTGTATAAACACTTGATGTAAAACATACGTGTCTGTATTTGTTTATTTATTTGAATGTGCTTCAATCAGTACAAAATTTCATTAAAAGTGGCCCAAGTCAGGCCGTAAAACGACAAAATGAACAACATTCATTGTTAATATAAGCACTGGCAAAAACTAATCAAACCAACTGCTATAAAAGATAAACCCATAAAGCAAGATATTAAATGATAATTAAACAAAGACATTAAATAAGCATCGATATTATATAATAAATAAATAAATAGATAAATATATTACGTAGCAGCAAATAAAAGAAGTCATCATGGAATGGAGTTTTATTACAAAAGTCATTAGCACATAACTCATAAAAAAATGGCGTCAAATAACACATAAACAAAGACATTAAACAACACATAAAAACAAAGATATTAAATAACACATAAACAAAAGTTCTAAATTGCACGTAAACGAAGACTCTGAATAGCACATAAATAAACAAAGATATTAAATAACACTCTAGTATGTAACATTTGTTGGCCCATTTTCGTACGAAAGAACTCAAGTATCTTAGATATTTTCATTGATACTAAGCAAGCAAAATGGTTTCTTCACGTTTCTTCATTGTTTAATTTTATTCATTATACATGTATATCATTTTAAATATGATCTCTCTTTTTTTTCTTTCTCTCTCTCTCTCTCGCTTTCTTTTTTCTTCTTTTCCTTTTTTCTCAACATCGACGTCTGTCAATCTTCTATATATGGATATGTATGTGTGTTTGTTTGTGTGTATGTATGTGTGTGTGTTTGTGTGTGAGCTTCTCTGTGTGAATAAATGTGTGTGTATGCTATTTTCATTGTTTACTATTGTGCATAAAATTAGAACTCGGTTATTATGAACAATAAATTTATGAACAAAAATTAAACTGAAGTTTAGCGATATAATGTAATTTATTGCAACACGAAATAAATTTTTAACATAAAAAGCATTTAAAACTGACATTCATTTATACAAATAGACAATATTCATTAAATTAATCGAGCAATATATTTCATTTATATGAAATAAATTAAAACTAACAAAAAAAAAACAGCAGATTTTATAATATGGAAAATGAATGATATGAATAATAATATTATTATTCATAACAATAATGAATAGATGTTGATTTTATTTTCATGCTCGTTATTAAAGTCAAATTTATTATTATTATCATCGTTATTATTATTATTATTGTTAATATTATTTAATAAATTGATCGTTTTTGCTGTGTTTCGGAGTATTATCATTATTTTTATTATCTTTAGTTGATTTAAGAGAAATATTAATACATAGATGCACACATACATACACATACACACACACATACATACATATATACATATGCATACATACATACATACATACATACATACATACATACATACATACATACATACATACATACATACATACATATGCATATGCATATGAATTTGACATTTGACATTTTTTATTTCATCAAATCAAAACAAAGAAATCAAAGAAATGATATCAATGAAAAGAAATGATCTGGAAACCGAAAAGAAAATATGGTTTTCTTGTAATGATTACCAGTGACAATTGTAAAAATAAGAGCATATTTTAAATATTTTAGTGCATGTAAACTCACATTCATATTACAAATCCTAAAAAAACCAAAAATGGAATCATAATTAATAAGTAATCAACTCTT